AAAAATAGCTTTTATGAACCTTCACCATCACTTTGAACCATGATAGATAGAGACATCATATTTTTTAGGCATGCCCCACTCAGCCATTTTTTCCAACCCATTGGGAAAGGGTCCGGTACCGGTTCAATTGAGAAAAAATAACATCAAAGAAAAACAAAGGAGAATTTTCTCATATATGCAAATGCAACGTATTTTGCGTTTATCCCATTTTATTTATCTATTACTCCTTGTTTTAAAGAATAAGCAACAAGTACTAATTGATTTTTATATCAACGTCCCATGTTTTCACATTTTCATTCTTTCAATTTGTCAAAATGTCTGACACTACGCTGGCTAAACCACAGGTCCCGCCACCAATTACGACTTTCTCTACTTTCGATTTAAGCGGAAGTAAAACAATCAGTCAACTTGTACAACGTTTAATTTAATAAGAAATCGATGTCGTCATAGTCTGTTGTTTCACAGTTGAATTGGGAATTTTTAGTCCCAAAATTGCAAAAAATTGATGTTTTGGCATTGGAAACGGTGCCCTTTATTGGTACCAGTTGTATAAGGAAAACTTGAGTTCAAAATTTTATTTACCTCCAAGGAACATTAATGTCACGGGTTCTTCCATCTCAGGAAATGATAAGTCAACACAATATTTCCTCAGTGAAGGTTCTTATATTTTATTGATTGACATTTTGCAGGAATGATGAAATAAATGAAGTATAAACGAAGTACAAACGAAGGTGACCTGAAATGAAAAGGATGCGCTCGTACTAATTCACACACACTAATATTTAATTTTAATAGTTTAAAATCAGTATTAATATTAAATTATTCTTACCAGTTACACAAGGAACTAACTCACTAAGATTCCGTAAGGAATTTCCTGGATAAACTGCATCACATAATCACGTAGATTTCTCGCAGGAGAAAATCTAACTTAATGTATCGTCCAGATTAAAAAGGAATAATCCGTGCATAAGTATATATACCAGGACTCACACGTTCGTAAAAAGCTACCACATCACATACATACTGGTTCTACCACTCAAACCCAGGATAATAATAGACCACAAGACAATCACGTGACAACCAAATACTCACGTGACACGAAACACCGGACAAACAAGAATACAATACAAACAAGATTACAATGAATGACCAGGAATGAAAGACATTTACTACAGCTATATTATAACTACAATAACTCACCAAACTAGCTGTACTAATTTAAATAAACAAATTATTCTAAATAAAATAAAAACAAATAATTGTCACCCTGTGACATTAATTTTATGCGCATTTTGTAAAATAGATTTTAAATAAAATCAGGAACTGATGATGAACATTTTCAGTACAAAAAAAATACCCCGCCTAGCTTCCCACGAAAATTTTATACTGATCCTGAGTCTGGTCAGGGCAAATAAACATTTCAAATTTTCTGTGTTTCCTTTGTTAAAATAAAACCAGGTTTCTGTCGAGACTGTAGCTCTACTGATTTGTGCTTATAATAAAGGAAGAGAATAATAGCAGTTTGGACTTAAAACTTTACAAAAGCAATAAATAAAATAACGATCCTTGATTTAGTCTCTTTGTGGAACGATTGCAGTAAGACTACAACTGTAGGAGTAGCTTCTAATAAAATTTTACCGAATTTTGAAATTTAAGTTACCATGGCAACATCAATCATCAAAATTGATAATTATGTATCTCAGTGCAGTCTACTTGCATTTATTTTATTGAAATCAGACTAAAACTGTATTTGGAGTTACTGTAGCATTTTGAAAGTATTTCACAGAAATTTCTATTTTTGGTAACCTAGGCAGCACCATTCATTGAAATCAAAAACTGATTGCCTGACGTCACGGCGTCATTACTAATAAGGATCAATATTTCTCCTAGATGCGAAGCTAAGAGGTCACATTTAGCCAGCAAAATTTTGTGCATGCTAATCATCATTGGATTTTTTTTACATGCGTTTCAGCAACAACAGTTAGCATAAAAATAATCATATTGCTGATACAATATATTGATGTGTTTATTTCCTGTAGCTTTTTGCCAACAGCTATTTATTCCATGCAAGTTCTTATACGGACATGTCCGTTTGACCTTTTTCCTGAGTTTCTGTACAACTGGATTAGTCCATTTGTCTTCTAGTAATAATTAAGGGGTGACACAATCATTTCGCGCCCAAATGTCACGTGTAAGTTTTTGCGCCCTTTTCTCGGACCATTCTACTATTCTATTGCATGGAAATGAAAACTGCATGAATTATATAAAGTACATGTATGTTCCTTTTTGTCTGAATCCTTGTCGAGCTTTGGAAAAAAAACATATCGGTGATATTGTGAAGTGAGTGAGAAGTAACATCATTTAAAGTAATAAAAACGAAACAAACAAAAAGCTCTTAACAGGTTGTACTGGCCAAATATACATCTGATCATAACACCCCCCCCCCCTCCAGGGTGGTTTCCTCCAACAAAAACAGAGTATAGACTTATGAAAGTGTCCTCTCACATTACAGGATTGAGAAAAATTACTTTTTAGCTCGTACAAATATTTTTGACCCCTCATCTCTTGGAAAAAACTTCCTGAATCCGCGCCTGTCGCCATTCATATACATGTATCGCCGTCAAGTTTGTTGGGTCATTTAAGCATATAGGGCTTTATTTATCTGGCATACCCAAGAAAATATTAAACATACTCTGCATGCCAGTCATAATCGTTACGATTCCCTATTTCTTGTAGTTATCATATTTTCAGCTGTCTCCTCGCTGTATGCAGTTGAATCTGTGTAGCCTTTTCATATAGCTATGCTTTCCAGCACGATAAAGATCCCTCTCTGCTCAAAGGCCGTAACTGCCGAGCATAGGCCTAAATTTGCAGCCTTTCACCGGCAATGATGACGTCTCCATATCAATGAAATATTCTGGAGAGGGACGTTAAACAGTATACAATCAATCAATCAATCCAGCATTAATCAATTTCATTCGTTTTTTCCCCTTATTTACTTCATCCTCTAAAACCATTTTAGAACTCGCGGAGTAAGATGTTGATCTTTACGTCGCGGGTTCGAATCTACGGCGGGATATGTAGATGATTTCATTTTTATTTGAGATACAATGTATAAGTTGTAAATAAAATGTGTTCTTTCTCCATTGCTCTGATGAGTATCATACAACTTAAAAGGAATACATGATGTTTCGTGAAACATCTTCATAATTACTCTAGTGAAATAATTTACCCCCCCCCCCTCCCCAATGTAAACTTTTATAACTTATCATGCTTAAATGTATAGCCTCTATAGATAAGATATTGATGGCATTAGTCAGGTAAACTTTTTGAAAAGTTGTTACTTTTATACAGAATTAAGTATTTAAGTGTAGTCAACTTGTGTGCCAAAATTTAGTTACCATAGAAACAGCAATGATCAAAATCAGAAACTCAAAACTTATCTTAATGTAGTCTACATGCATTATTATATTGAAATTAGACTTAAAATGTATTTGAAGAAGCATTTTGAAAAGTATTTCACAGAAATTTCTAATTTTAGTAACCGAGGCAGCACTATTAATTGAAATCAAAAACTGATACACAGACTTATGTATCTTAGTATAGTCTACTTGTGTGCCATGTTATATTGAAATCAAACCAAATTTGTACGAGGAGTAGCATTTTGAAAGTATATCATAGAAATTTCTACTTTTAGTAACCACGGCAACACCTTTCATCGAAGTCAAAAACCGATAAATAGAATTATGTATCTTGGGGTCATCTCCTTGTGTGCCAAGTTATATTAAAATCAGACAAAAACTGAAGGGGGAGTAGCATTTTGAAAGGATTTCAAAGAAATTTCTACTTTTAGTAACCACAACAATGTTCATCGAAATCAAAAACCGATACACAGAATTATGTAGCTTAGTGTAGTCTACTTGTATGCCAAGTTATATATTTAAATCAGACCAAAACTGTAGGAGGAGTAGCATTTTGAATAAAAAATTGTTTACAGACAGACGAACTCATAAGCTAAGAAGTATTTGACTATAGTAGAGCTAAAAAAACATTGTTTGTTGTTTAAATTGACCTGACACCTTCTTGTGTAAAACACGCTATTACTCTATAGCTCATTTATTTTCAATAAAATTGATGTAAAAATACATTTTTTTATATTTTAAAAATTAATTTTTGTTTTGACTAGCTGTATGAAGAAGGAAAACTTTGTCGTGAAAAAAAATCTTTCCGTACATGTTCGAGCCACTACTATAAATTTGATGGATATTGGTGATTTAAGTGGGCGCCAAACTTGATGGTTTTCTCTCTCAAATTCGTGTCGTAATTTTAATCTTATTCGCATGTTGCAAGTGGCAAAATGTGTTCCGCATATCGCGAAATACCTCTTCAAGTGCTTGGTATACTAACGGATCATGTATGCCTTTTTACATATATCTGACAGCATTGTATTAAGATATAGGACGTATCAGTCCAATTTATGTTATCAATATAAGTATCGACATTGAAATCTTTAAATACTCTGATGAGATTCTGAAGAGAACATTTAAATAAGTCCCATTTGCATTATACAGTATGTGGCCATAAGTGAGACATAATTGCATTTTAACGCTACACGTATATATTTCATTAAAAAACCAATTTTTATAAAAATTTATTGTGAAGTCAATTTAAGTTCAATTTTCATGATTTTTTTTACTGAATCATGCAAAATTATTCCATTCTTTTTTGGTCTTAAAATGATAAACAAAACGATTCTCAAATCATTGAGAATAATTTATAAAATTGACAAGACAAAAATTTCTAACCTCAAATTATGATTTCTTAACAAATTGAAGTCTTAGAATTTTTATTTTGTACTTTACCTGTGATTTCATTGTAATGCCTAGAGATAGAATTCTGCATTTTATGGTGTTTTAGTCATTAAAAATGATCAACAAATAATAATATTGCAATAGTATTTCAGAAAAAAAGCATTTTTCAACTAAATATATAGTGGAAAAATAAAATTATGACTCATTTATGGCCAGGTACTGTACATAATGCGTAATGTGTCTGGGTGTCCAAATTCTACTCTTTAGACATAAATGTTAAAATAAAAATCGCTTGTTTCAGGATATCCAAGATTGCTATTTTCTGCAAATACTTGTCAACAGAGCATTTGCCGCATAACCATGACCGTCAAACCTCCTCTGTCCATAGATAAGCATCCCGAACAACGAACCGTCTGTTGATTCCACTTGAATCACGCCACTAGGTACGTTTACTGTCATCACGCCAAATAGAAATGGTCCAACAGTTATCGTGGAATGGAACACTGTGGCGTAATTATCGATGCGAGTGTTATTTATTTGGAGGTTAAATAACGATTCATTCCTGATTATGAATGTGGCAAAACTAAAATTATATCCTTCTGGTACATCAACAATATACTGATTGAGATACTGGTTTATTCCTGGAACAGTCATCATGTAAGGGTCACCATAGACTTGAGAGTTGGTTGCACCAGCGGCAAAAACATTTACTAAAACGGGTTTGGCAGATTGTATGAGGCTTATTTCGTTTTCACGAGTGGTGAAATCCGTATAACGACTTTTTAACAGCGTAGTTGTAGTTTCCATTCCACCGAAAGTGTATGTAACTTTTGTTTGAAAGGGTGCAATTATTCTTATAAGTGATTGGTATCTATTTATGTTTGGTGGAACGATAAAAACGTCATCGAATTCGTCAACTGGCGGAATCATTTCCATCTGTATGCTGCATGCTCCGTGATATCCTATATTATTACATCTGTTTCCTACAAACACGGCAATGGGCTGAGAAGAATTTATCGTTGTTCCTGACAAATCTGCATGTTGTCCAATTTGAAACGTTTGAAAATTATTTAAGATTACCGTAAAAGTATCACCATTACCAAATTCTTTGTCATGAAGAGAAATTGAGGTATTGTGATCGATAGCAAAGACTATACTGATATGCGTGTTGTCTGTGGTTGCAGCGATCGTAAAATGACTTCCGCTGTCCAGAAATTCCCCTGTAGGCGGTGCTGTTGAAATAATGTAGTATTTTGATAGCTTGTCTATGGGGAAAACTATGGTACTGTCAGATGTGTATTCACCTTCGTCTAATATTAATACAGTCGTCAACGCTGATGTTGTAATACGAATAGCCTTAGATTCTATCAACGAATAAGCGGGAATCATCGAATAATGAACACTTATTTTTTTCAATGTCCTATTTTCAGTTCTGTGTGTGCTTGTGGTCAATAAATTTGGACTTCGACTATCAGAAAGTGTGACCGTCATGTTGAAATCATTTTCGGATGAAACAAGTATCTTTCTATTTGTTTCATTTACTTCAATATGATTCTGGATAAAGCTTACAAGAAAACTGCGCCCTCTGCTCCCTGTTAAAGAAAACATTTCTATATGATCGGCACACACGAGAACACACATATATTTAAATAAATATTTAAAAGTCTGTAAAAAAATTTTTTTCTACTCACCCAAAGGGTTGTTGGTTCTCAGTAAATTTGATTTTTCGTCCAGGCAGAGTTTATCCTTGATCAAATACTGTAATGTTACTTTTCCCGATGAATCAAGGAACTCTTTAATACAAATCAAATGTCTATGTTGTTAGGAATGGGAAATTGTTTAAAAAGGTCAAGTTTTTTAGGATATATAACGAAACAAGTCAATTTAGCTCATATTCATAAAAAACGACCCCTAAAAATTATGGTTATCAATAATGCAGATATATATTTGTTGTTTAATGTCCGTCTCGAGTATGTTTCACTCGTAATTGTAGATGCCCATGCCAAGAAAACCTTAGCAGTCTGTACGGAGAGCGAACTCAATAAAAGCCGAATTAACGTTAATCTGTGAAACTCTCCCGAGAGATGTTGGCGAGGCAATTAATGTCAGCAGTTTTGAGGGAGGGATCTTAAGTTTTACTAGGTTTGAAACAAAACTAATTATTTAGAAGCCTTTGCACCCCTTCTTTTTTTTGGGGGGGGGGGTCAAATTTATCAAATACTGTAAAAAACAAGAGGCCCATGGGCCTTATAGGTCACCTGAGTATCATGTAACAACTTTCCAGCGATCGTATTTGGTTCGTGTTTTAATCCAAAAGCCATGAAATTCACAAATTTTGAAAGAGGCACCATTGCTTATCAAAGGGCAGATTTCAAAGCATTAATTTATTTTTAGTCAAAGTACCCCCATGGTACCCCTGACCCAGTGGCCCTGAATTTATCTATTTTGAAAGAGGCTCCTCTCTTCATTATAAGGCCAGCATTTTTTTTATGTTTTAATAGGTTTAGTTATGAACATGAGAATAAAAAAGTCTCAAAGGAAAAGGAAATAAAAAAAAAAATTTTTGATAAATCAATTGTACATTCTTTTTTTATGCTATTCTAATAGGCTCCTTACCACTGGACACATAATGCTTACAAATAGGAAAGTAGAACATTTAATTGCTTATTTCATCATCTGCCAGTTTGGGCCAGTTATATAAATTTTGTAATGTTGGTCAAAATATATTTTAAAAAATCAATTCTTTAAAAGTCTTTCAATATATCTTCATTTTTTTAATATGTGTTAGGTGAATGTGTAGACATTGTTCTAAAATTTACTTGATGCCTAAAATTATAATTCCTATATATTTGTATATTCTTGCCTTAATAGTTGAATTTTTTTTTTTATTTCTTCAGGTTATTGTTCATTTCTTCTGACCTCAAATGGACTTAACTTCTCCCATAGTTTTATTCATTACATCTGATGCATAAGCAACCCTTATCTGAAGAATGATGCTTAGACTGTAAGCTATGACAGAGACCTAAACAATGTCGCTGACAATATGCTACCACGGGCAGTTTAAAACCTGGGGGAGGAAAATAATTTACAGACAGAAACTTGAAACGAATACATAATTATCTCACCAGCATGTCATTGTGCAACAAAGTCGTCAGCATTTTATTTGTCCTTTGAACGGGTGAAACGTTTTGAATGGCACTCGTATCGATGAATTTTACACTAAACCAAGCTATCTTCTCAAATGTAGGCTTGTAGCTTTATTTACCCGCCGTTTCATCTTAAAACCGGAAGTGCGAGTTCGTAAATTTGAAATCTCGATCCCGACTCATATTTGACATCGGAAAGAAAAAAATGTTTTATTTTTTTCTGAAAATTCAAAACCTTGAGCGGAGGCTTTGTACAACTGAAAATAAAATAAATCCTGGCCTTAAATATGTAATTAGATCATTAGCATATTAACCAGGAGCAAAGGATAATATGTTCAAAGAATTCATGCAATTCACTATATAATCATTAGAGCCCCACCCTAAAACAAGAACCCCTGACCCTGGGGCCATAAAATTCACAATTTTGGTAGAGGCACTCTTGCTCATCATAACTATGTACTTAGTTAGTTTATTTAATACCCAGGAGCAGAGAAGAAGATTTTCAAAGAAATCATGTATTTTCACTATATAATTAATAGAGCCCCGCCCTAACACCAAAACCCCTGACCCTGGGGCCATAAAATTCACAATTTTGGTAGAGGCACTCTTGCTCATCATAACTATGTACTTTGTTGGTTTATTTAATACCCAGGAGTAGAGAAGAAGATTTTCAAAGAAATAATGCATTTTCACTACCTACTTATTTAGCCCCGCCCTAGCACTAGAACCCCTGACCCCAGGGCCATGAATTTCACAATTTTGGTAAAGGACTCAATGCTGATTACAATCATGCAAACAGTTCGATTGCTTGATGTCCAGGAGTAAAGAATAAGATTTTTAAAGATTGCATTAATTTTAGTGGTTTTGGCCCCACCCCTCAGGCCCCAGGGAGGCAGGGATCATGAAATTCACAATTTTTGTTCCCCTTCACCCATAGATGCTTTGTGCCAAATTTGGTTGAAATTGGTTCAGTGGTTGCAGAGAAGAAGCTGAAAATGTTCAAATGTTAACACACGACGAACGACGGACGACGGACGACGACGGACGAAAACGGATAGCAATAGGTCACCTGAGTTTACTCAGGTGACCTAAAAAGTCAAGTTAAAGAAAAAGAAAGTTAAAATTTATTTATTATAGTAAACAAATTCTTCAGTAGAAATAAGCTGTCTTTCAATTTTTTACATATTTCCATATATTTTTTTTCCCTGAGCATAAATTAACGTCGGGTACGATGAACTTGGTAGTTGTTGAAGTACAGCGCGTCGAATTATGGGAAAAAGGGTACCAGATTCCCTGAAGTTGACATCAATTCCTGGTTAAACAAGAGGAGAGAGGAGTACTAAATGGGTAGAGGTATCACACCGGTAATTGACCAATCAAAATGAACTTAAGTCAAATTTAGGTCCATACATATAGAATTGATTTTCCTTTCTTTTGAGACGTTTTTCTATTCTCTTCCAAGCCATTTTTACAACTTTGGTACCTGTGCCTAGTAAATTTTATGCACTTTTTGAACAAATAAAGATTTTTGACAGGAACTATTTTTTCCCGGGAATAGGAGGCTACTTCCTTCGGTACACCCGGAATGTTTATAAACACATTGAAAACACGTGGATTTGAGGGTAGCCCTGCCTGCAGATGGAAAAAGTCAGAAAATGCCGTGTAGGTACCGTTTTGTGTGTGAGAGTGTGTCAGCTAGTGTGACAGGTAATACCAGATTTTTTTTACGACTTTTTATTCTATATGGAATTTATAGTGAAAACAATAATACCGGTGTGACGCAACTTGATTGGCTATGTTAATATTTTCATTTTAATGTAAAAATATCACTGATAGAAATAAATGGTGGAATATATCAAGTTTATTTTTCTTTAACTAAGAAAGCTGAAAACCTATGATACCCCCCCCCCTAAAATCGAAATCTGCTGCCGTAAATTGTCTTGCTAGCGTTTGGGGAATATGGGTGATTTGCATCAATTACACTTTTATTGACTTCATCAGTGCGTAAACCGGACGAGATTTCTTGGCATGACCACTTGCTGCAAAAAGTAGCCTATACGCGGCAGGTAGGGCAGTTGAGCAGTGAGGGATCCTTTTCGTGCATAAAGTTTTTGCGATAATGAACCTGGGTTTATACGGTCCTATCTGAAGGACCGGTATCCACGTCCCATGTTGACCTTTCGTCACGGGTTCGACGTAAGGTGAAACTTCTTACTCTGCGATTCGAATGCAAATGCTCTAACCACTGCGCCATGCGGGCAACATATATATAGGCCATTGTGATGTACTTGATACATGTACCAATAATAAGGCAATATACCTTTATTAAATCTCTTCAGCGTTTTCACTTCTAGTACATAAGAGTAAATCGATATATTCTGCGGATTCCCTGGAAAAAGGTACTGTGTGAGTTAGATGAACTGAGGTACACACCTTTTCCGAACTGTTCCGAAGTGTTTTCTAAAATCGTATGAAAAGTGCCGACATGTCTCAAATAAAATCATGAAAATTCATGATTCAGTTTGCAGGTGCATGTACTATAGATATACCACTGATTCAAATGCAAAGACCTTTTATTAAATATATCTACATGTACATTCTGAGCAACCAGTATTTCAATTGCTTATCTTATAATTGCGCTGCATATAAAATAAAACTGCAGTTACGGGTTTTGAAAATATAGTTTTATTTTGGTATAATATTTATATATGATATATGCATGGTATAGGAATTGAGGATAAGAGATTGGTACCCTTCAATCCCATTGAAAAGAATTGCAGTGTCCATGTTTCGCTATGGGAAACTCGAAAAATATGTCCGATCAAAAAAAATAAAAAAGGTGCACAATGGCACTATGTAACATTCTGAGGCAATAAGTTCTTTCATTCAGTGGCATAAGAGGAATTGCAGATAATTGATGGGTACCCAAAAGCGTAACAGACGGACTGACATCCCGATCACTTAATACCTTTCCACTTTTCAAGCAAGGGGATTTAAAATATTTTGGCATGAGAATTCAGTTTCACTCGAATGATGGAGAAAGAAACAGATTTGGGTTAATTCTATCAACGGCAACATTGATATAAATTACTGTTAAAATAATATATTTATATCCCACGTCACTTGCTGTTCGAGATATATTTTTGACATCTCTGTCCATCATGCTTTTTTTCCCGGTTAGATCAACTCCTCATAAGCCGTAGATAGAATTAGGGCTGGGTATTGGCCCGAGATTTCGTATTGCGATATATTGCGATATTTATAACTGTATTGCGATATGTATTGCAATATTTTAATGTAATTTAAATGGCATTTTCTTACTATATTTACTTAAATTTACATGCAGAATGTACATAACTATGATAAGGAACCCACGCATAAAAAATGAAAGAAAAAGTGAGCTAGCTCACATACCCCACGCTCCCCCAAAACTTGACGGTGAAACACATAATGAAAGGCACAGTGCTTTTTAAATACACAGTATAGATCAAAAAGGGCAATAATTGCAAAAAAAATCTTCACATTAAAATGTCTTACATATGAGGACATTTAAATGTGGAATGAAGTTTCTAGATAAACAATGGAATCAAAATTTCTTGGCATTATACAAATCCAAACATTAATTTGAAGTGGTTTGGGGGGGGGAGAAATTTTCTTGAATAATAGGCAAAACTCTTTGGGATAAAAGAAACTATATACAACAGTTTAAGAGGAGTGGTTCTGACAAACTGTTCATTTCTATATTCAAAATATGGCCAAAAAGTCTAAGTTGGAAAGTGTGGAAATTCCCGGAAAAATAAAGGAATCGGAATTTCCTGGTAATATGCACATCTACACATTGTGTCCTAAATATCTGCAAAGTTTGAAGAAATTCTGTGCAGTGGTTTATGAGGAGTTGCGCTGACAAACTGTTCACCTCTATATTCAAAGTATGGCCAAATGCCTAAGTTAAAAAGTGCGGAAATTCCCGGAAAAAATGATGGAATCGGAATTTCCTGGTAATATGCACATCTACACATTGTGTTCTAAATACCTTCAAAGTTTGACGAAATTCTGTGCAGCGGTTTATGAGGAGTTGCGCTGACAAACTGTTCATCCCTATATTCAAGGTATGGCCAAATGCCTAAGTTAAAAAGTGAGGAAATTCCCGGAAAAAATAATGGAATCGAAATTTCCTGTTAATATGCACATCTACACATTGTGTCCTAAATACCTGCAAAGTTTGACGAAATTCTGTGCAGCGGTTTATGAGGAGTTGCGCTGACAAACTGTTCATCCCTATATTCAAGGTATGGCCAAATTCCTAAGTTAAAAAGTGAGGAAATTCCCGGAAAAAATAATGGAATCGGAATTTCCTGGTAATATGCACATCTACACATTGTGTCCTAAATACCTGCAAAGTTTGACGAAATTCTGTGCAGCGGTTTATGAGGAGTTGCGCTGACAAACTGTTCATCTCTGTATTCAAGGTATGGCCAAATGCCTAAGTTAAAAAGTGCGGAAATTCCCGGAAAAAAATAATGGAATCGGAATTTCCTGGTAATATGCACATCTACACATTGTGTCCTAAATACCTGCAAAGTTTGACGAAATTCTGTGCAGCGGTTTATGAGGAGTTGCGCTGACAAAAAAAGAGGACTGACTGACGGACTGACTGACTGACTGACTGACGGACGGGTCAAAAACATTATACCTCCCGCAACTAGTTGCGTGGGGTATAAAAATCTTGTTGATTTCATTTAAGGAGGCTCATTACACCACTTTTTGATGACGTACTACACAAAAAATAAACCTCCATTGTGTCGACCGGTTCCCTCTGGGGACGAAATGTACAGGAACCTCTATAATATGACCCTGACCTTTAAAACGCTTTAAAAATAGATGAAACATGCGGTGTTATAAACAGTGAAAACAAAGTAACGGATTCATTTGACATAAACCAAGAAAAATTGCTTTTACACAGAAACCAAAGAAAACAACAGTCGAATCTTCGTCAAACAAGTAATGTCAATTTCATAGCGATGCATGCAGTGAGCTCTATCTATTAATGACATGTTTGTATGGAGGAAATTCGGAGTTAAAATCTTCAACCTTGTTGAAATTAAAGTTATTTACTTGCACTATTTATTGTGTTGGTGTTAATTTATATATTTGTTTTATTTATTTAAATGTATACTCTGTCAATTTAAAGCTTTGCTCTGAATTTTAGATGTAATGTCAAACGTTCCTTAGTGTTTTGAGTCTTGGGTAATTAGGAAAGATAACTCTTGAAAGTGGACTTTTTATACCAAATATTTTTTAAATTGGATTTTTCATTTCGTTTAAACATTCTTCATTCAATTTGACACATTTAATTCATTGTTATACATTCCTTGTCTCTTCAGAACTCATTTTCCTAATGTTTTATGCATAGATTAAAAAGAAAATGACATTAATTGTTTTTTAGGAGAAAATTATTTTTTCTAATGAAATTATTATTAGGTATTATGAGGTATTTTCACTGTGTGTACTTGTCTTAAAAAGATGCCCATCATTTGACACTGAAAGTTCTGAAATTCTGTTAATAATAAACTTGAAATAAAACATTTCACTAAAATTAGACAAAAACTAAAAAATTCTATAAAAAATATTTATGATATCAATACCCCCATCTGGATATTGAACATCTTCATTATAAGTGGTGCTGTATCGAAATCTAAAATAAACTGTGGATGTAATGAGCCACCTTAAGTTATGCTGAAATGTTCCCACAAAACAACTTCTGTCTTACTGTTTGGCTTAATAACAAACTTTCATACATTCATTTCTATATTTAATCACAAAATTCCTTAATCTAAGCATATTGCCAATATATCGATATTACAAAATCGTATTGCGATACAATATTTTTCGTCATTGTATTGCAATATATTGAAATATCGATATTATTGCCCAGCCCTAGATAGAACGTTCTCTCGTTAAAATGATATTGTCCTACGGACCCGGTTTAACGATCGAACTCGTTCCATGTATTTGTAATGCAGCAAAAGAAACATGGGCGATAACTCGTACTCACTATAACTCAGTGCATTTACTATGAACAATCTAGAGAGTTCCGAATGTAAACATGGCAGGTAAATTTGAAGCGAGAGAAAAACGTTGAGAAGATTAATTGGATACGTCTTTAGATGGATTATTTTCTGGGATAAAGGCATAAGCAAATCCTTTTTTTTATTCTTCAAAATCGTTTCGGAGCGGATCCGCTCCGATTTGCTACATTTCAAGTATATGGGACGTATTCTAACTGTGGTGAGGACTTGCACCGAGAAACAGTTAGATCATTCTAACTACATAAGCCGCTGCTCAGAATTTCATCAAAGTTTGCAGATATTGAGGACTCAGTCATTAATATGAGAAGCACATTCTTTACTACAGGTCACAAAATGATCATTCTTTCATCCAAACCAATTTGAGTTCAAGTTAAACAGAATATTTTAAGAAAATTTACTTTCAAGTAAGAGTATTATCAGTAAAAACATCGTACCGTCATTTTTATTCTTTTCCCGAAGGAATAATAAAGTCATCGTCACAAAACCCACAGTGGACACAAACCCGAGGAATATCACGAAAATAATACAAGCTCTATTTGCAGAGATCTTCGATTTTTGAGGTTTTTCTTCCACGTCTCTCCCGAAGTCTTTTGGTGTTGCTTTAATATTCTTTATCTTCATGAAATAAAATGAGGACATTTATGATTTTAAAGACGTGTCATTAAGTTAATTCAGCTACGTTAGTTTCATCAAATTTCCAGATTTTTTTTATTCGAATGTTTCAAAACAAATTACAAAAATATCAAAATGTAAAAGAAACGTTTAGTAAATCAAGGAAATTTATCAATAAAATGGCCTTAAACTCTTACCGAAATGTATCTTTCGGCATCCTCGTTTTCCTAAAACAAATAAGTGCATACTTTTCCTTAATATATTCTAGTTTCAACCATATACTTTAGGCTTTTTTGTCTGAATATTGATAAACCAGAAGTCTCTGTGGAGACTGAGGGTCTACGGGTTTTTACTTATAGCAAAGGAAGAGAAAAGTAGCAGTTGGGAATTGAAACTTTATAACAGCAATAAATAGAATAATGATCCTTGATTAAGTCTCTTTATGTTCTTAGTGTGGTCTACTTACATGCCACATTATATTATAATCAGACTTAAACTGTATTTGGGGTAGCATTTTTATAGTATTTTACAGAAATGTCTATCTTTAGTAACCAAGGCGATAATGTTCACCGAAATAAAAAAAAAATGATGAATAAAATTGTGTATCTAAGTGCTGTCTACTTCTATGCAAAATTATTTTGAAATCAGAACAAAACGGTAGGAGGAGTTGCATTTTTAAACAATTTCACAGAAATTTCTATCTTTAGTAACCACGGCAACACCGTTCATCGAAATTAAAAACCGCTAAGCAGAATTATGTATCTTAGTGAAGTCTACTTGTGTGCCAAGTTATATTGAAATCAGACCAAACTGTAGGAGGAGTAGCGTTTTGAAAAAAAAATTGTTTACAGACAGACGGACGGACGACGGACACCTTACTATCGCATAAGCTCTTCTCGACTCTGACCAGTAGAGCTAAAAATGAACAGTTTCTTCAAACTCCAAACACATTCTTAATTTGTTTAGAACACCAATGGTCATTAGCATCTGCTCAAAAAATAATGGCTTCAAGTTATTAAATACAATTGCATGAACATGAACATAAATAACGTAGATATATATTGAAATGAAATATATGAAGACAACGAACATTATTAAAGCCGCTTCATCCGAAACAGGCACATATTATCTTAAACAATAAAAGTATGTCATTACATAGGTAATATATAAAAATTGCGATATATTGCGATATTTATAACTGTATTGCGATATGTATTGCAATATTTTTAATGTAATTTAAATGGCATTTTCTTACTATATTTACTTAAATTTACATGCAGAATGTACATAACTATGATAAGTAACCCACGCATAAAAAATGAAAGAAAAAGTGAGCCTTGCTCCCCCAAAACTTGACGGTGAAACACATAATGAAAGGCACAGTGCTTTTTAAATACACAGTATAGATCAAAAAGGGCAATAATTGCAAAAAAAATCTTCACATTAAAATGTCTTACATATGAGGACATTTAAATGTGGAATGAAGTTTCTAGATAAACAATGGAATCAAAATTTCTTGGCATTATACAAATCCAAACATTAATTTGAAGTGGTTTGGGGGGGGGGGGGGGAAAATTTTCTTGAATAATAGGCAAAACTCTTTGGGATAAAAGAAACTATATACAACAGTTTAAGAGGAGTGGTTCTGACAAACTGTTCATCTATATTCAAAATATGGCCAAAAAGTCTAAGTTGGAAAGTGTGGAAATTCAAAAAATAAAGGAATCGGAATTTCCTGGTAATATGCACATCTACACATTGTGTCCTAAATATCTGCAAAGTTTGAAGAAATTCTGTGCTAAGTCATGATATATTCAAAGTTGGCCAAATTAAAAATTAAGAAATTTTCCTGGTAACTGAATATAAAGTTTGACCTGTGCAGCGGTTTATGTTGCGCTGAATTTTTATATTAATGTGCATATTTACAAATTTCCTGTTAATATGCACAGGAAAATCAAAGTTTGATATTTTTAAAGATTTTTTAAAAAGGGCGTTTAATAACGAGGGCTAGAATAATCACTATTGCCCGTGTACACTTTGTTGTGGAAAAAATGCTCGGGTTTGTTCTTCATGAGTTATACATATAAGCGATAAATTTAATTTTTCGAAGGTGATTTCACGATCCTTACATGGAAAACAATGTAAACAAAGGATTGTTTTTTGTGAGACCTTAATCTAAAAAATATATTTTTTAACTTTTGATATATTTGATATCTTAATTTTTATAAATGTGCATATTTACAGAAAAAGCCTTATTTTTAAAGATTTTTTAAAAAGGATATAATTTGACAAAAGTTGAAATAATTTATGCGATAATTATTTTTCAAGGTGATTTCAGAAAAACAAAGGATTGTTTTTTGTGAGATATCTTTTGAATTTTGATATCTTTAAAAAGCCTTTGATTAATTTGACAAAAGTTGAAATAATTTATGGATAATTATTTTTCGGAAAAACCAGCGAGCGGCTTTAAAGCTCAAAAGTCCATTAAACACTACAAGATACATGTAGAAGCAGAGCAAACAAAGACCACCAACACATCAGAGGGAAGGGGTGGGGTGTTTACATTGTATAATTTTTCATTTGCATTGTATTTTTTTCATATGTATTGTAAAAAAAAAAATCAGGAGTATTGTATAATTTTTCATTTGCATTGTATAATTTTTCTTTTGTATATTATCATTTTTCATTTGCATTGTAAAAAAAAATATTTGTACATGTATTCTATCGTATAATTTTTAATTTGTATTCTAAATTTTTCAGCTGTATTGTTTACAGGTAATTTTCATTTGTATTGTATCCGATTGATTATTTATTTAGGTTTGTTACAAAGGATTTTATTGGTTTATTTTAATCATATATCGGATTTGGTAATACCCGAGATGTTCCGGGAAGTTTACACGCGTTATCCAGTCTGAACATTTATATTCTCTATCCAGATCCAGAGTTGTCTTTCCCGCTACGCACACACATACACCTCTGTCAACGCTCGTTATACAAGATTCTTGTACAAATTTTAAACGGTGGAAATTTGAAGTTTAAATAGTAATTAATTATTGTAATTATCGATGAAGATGATAATTCGTCATTTATTTTAAAACTGTAATCTCTCAGAACGACTTATTTTTAAAGTTGAAGGGAACAATTTCTGGAGAAAAAATTAAAATCTTAATTAAAAAATACTTGAAGGTGTAATAAATTATAATAAATAATGTTAAATAAATATATAACGTTAAATGAATACAATGTAACGTTAAATTGACCAACGAGATCCCTTGTAACGAAAAAATAAACAATCTCTCAAATACAATAAAAATAAAAAAAAAATACTAAACGAATGGAAAATATAGAAAACATAAAAAAAATATAAAATACAAATTATTTTTTTTTTTTTACAAAATAAATGTAAAATTTTACAATGTAAATAAAAACTTGTACAATACAAATTTTACTGAACAACAACAACAAATAAAAAATATACAATACAAATGAAAAATATAAAATACAAATAAAATATTATGCAATACCAATGATTTTTTAAACAATATAAATGAAATATTGCAACGTTTGACATGCCATAGGTGTGTTCTTTACAAGGTTATATGTACAGCGTATATTGAGTAAAAGGATCAACATCAAGGATTAAGGAGGCTTGGAGGTCAACAAGTTAACCACAAATTAACCACCAGATTTAACTTATTTTTTTAGATACGGTATCTTAAGATGTCAACTATCATTTGGGAAAGAAAAAAATAGTTTTAAAATTTGATCATTTTTGTGTATCTTTATATGGAGTAGATCAAAATAGTCTGAAAATGGCTGCCACTCTCAGCGTCTATAAGTTAAAGTGTGTTTTATGTTTCTATATATTTTTTTCATAAATTATTTAGTTTTATGATCCAAAAGATAAAGGCAATGGGAAACTAAGGTTAAAAGTCACAGTAGGATGGAGCCATTAACACCCTTTCTAAACACTTTATTTACAAAGTGTACGTAGCGTAAAAAAAGGAATAAAGACATTTGCATAGTTACCAAAACTTCATATGGATTTTTCTCGTCAGTTTGATATGCACGGTTTTCGTAACTCTGGAAAAAGGAGATAATGTAATAATAATAAATTATATATAAAAGAATTTTGAGTCTTAAAATTAATATTAAGTAGTCACTTACGCGCATAAATTAAACAT